TGGTGTCCTAAGAGGTTTGTGCGTGTTGTTTGATTATCAATTTTAAAAAGTTCTACCTTCCCATTGGTTCTTTTGGTCAGGTGCCCACTTTTTTTTCTTTACCTGGGGGACTTTTTAACCCTTTACAGGTAAAGCAAGTAAAGAACAGCTACCAGGACAGATTTTACAGCTAACTGGCTGGCTGGGTGTCCATCAAAGGGAGCTGTCCCCCCACTTTATTTATTACAGGTGCCTAGCACAAAGTGGGGTCTCCTTCCTTATTAGAGCCTCAAGGCACTACTACTATTATTGTAATACAAATATATTATATTGGTACACTCATATTTGCATAGGCACTGAAATCTGAGGGTGATTGGGTGCAGTATAAAACCTAAGCAAACAGAATAGGATAAGGACCAGTTTGTGAGTAATCATTTTCAGGATTGCCCCCTAATATTGTAAGATCTTTATGGCACGGATCTGTCCTCTCACATGTTTGAAAACTCCATGCACGTGTATGGCACTACATAAATTACAAATGCTAGTTATTGTTAATATCATGATACCTTCTTTGACTCCTATGCTTGGCAGAAATAATCAAATAGATAGCACTTTACATTTTCAAAGCCGTGTACAAACAATTACCGATATTTCTTTGGCAGGCAAATAAGTATCTGCATCCCCGTGGTACAGTTGAGGAAACTGAGACAGGCAGGTTAGATGATTTGCATTAAAAGTAGCAGAGGGGGGAATAGAACTGAGAAGTTCCTGGCTTCCACTACCATGCTTATTGTTCTAGACTATGCTCCTGCTAAAGAAAAACATGATCTTTACTCTCTAGACTTACACTGAAACTAAGTAATACAGATGTACTTTAAAAGAGACTGTGGATTTAAGTAATACATTGATGCACTTCCAAATATTTTTGGCACCACTCTGTTTAAAAGTAAAAGATAAAGTTCCATATTTATATTACAGTTTATAGATAGCCATAAACTTTACTGCAAATGTTTCCTCGCTGGAAAAGAACTTAAGTTCTAATCAGAGTTGCATAAAATCTAACCTACCTCATCCAAATTATTTTGTACTGAATGGTGCTGAAATATACTGAAACTAACAACTTTCAAATAGTTTCTCTACTTTGACTGTATATTTTATACGTTTTTAGAAAAGTAAATCATATAAAAGTATTTCCCCCCTGTCAGCAATAAAATGATATCATAGAGAGAGAATGTACACAGTGCAGAAAGTGTCCTGCTAGTTTGTATTAGCTTCCCTGGTCAGACACATCCTATGTAGCACTAGTTAAGATTTACCAGTTTGAAAATAGACAGGCAAAGAGTTCATTGTGGCAAGACATTTCTTTGCAGCATTCTTAGGAACATCCTTGGAAGATGACTACATGGTCATTGTTAGTCAGACTAGAACTGTGGTCAAATCTGTCTAACTATGATATACCCCATTAAAAGAAAACATGGTAGCTGATAATGCCGGGCACTATTATGAATGGTCTCTTACAAGCCCCACATCCACCCAGACAGACAGAGAGGTGAGAGCCTTCCTAAGAGAGATGGGAAATTCATCTAGTCATGGTGGAAAAGACAGACCCTTTGACAACAGGGGGAAAATATTTTATTGTGTACCGGGAACCAGCCTACAAATGATATTATGCCAATTTCAGTCCTCTGCCACTGGAATGCTCTTCACAAGGTTCACTTCTATGGGACTCTGATTCTCTGGGACTACTGTTTCTTGTGTTAGTGCTATAACATATCACACTAGAAGGTAAATCACACCTTTCTTTCCTTTGCTGAAACAAAAATGGATTATTCATAAGGGTGAACTGAAAATCTCTGCATAGAGAGAGGTCTGCACATATGTGCACATAACTTCCAATAGTGTCAGTAAGAGCTGTGTGTGGGAATATTGAGTGTCTGTAGGGAGTATGAAAGGCAACTTCAGTATTCCTTCCCTCCCTTGCTCTCCCTTCCTGAATACAGTACCTGTGCAATCCCTTCTGAAATATATGCAGAGTATTGTAGGGTGTTAAATAGGTTTTATTTTCATTTTGTGGATGGACTAAGGCTGTTGGTTGACTGACTGCTGGACACAGCCAAAAGAGGTCTCTGTTGGTATCCCTGTTGCTAAGATCTCGGTCCTTAAGCCCTACATTTCCTGCATAAATGATTGTAGCCCTGGAAGGCTAATCTTGTCCTGCATTTCTAACCCCATTAGTAAAAGTTTGAACAACAGCGCATTTGTGTGCTGCTGGATGGTAGACAAAGCCTGCTCATACGGGTACATTGCTCATAACTTTTTAGAGCTCTATGACAACATCTAGCCAATGACAACTGTGCAGGTGTCTAAATATTGATGGCAGTAAGGCCCCACTAGTATTGATATAGTTAGTGGGGGTGGGTTGAAAAGAGAGGGAGGAGATAAAGGAGAGAAATGAGTAGAAAAAGCTTCTTACGTCTGAACTGTGAATTTTCTAAAATATACCAACTCTCTAGTGTGAGTTGTGCTGTGCTGATGGACTGGCAGTGACACACATACAGCTGTTTTTGTCTGGCATACAGGTGTTTAACTTGGCATCTGCTAGCTAATCATCAGGCAGCCAAAAATTTTGAGGGGATCACCATGTTTAACAGAAAGTGGTCCTTGTCCTTCTCCATAACAAGCTCGGTACATGTGCTGGAGCTGCCGTTTCACTTTCTCCCCACTCACCTCCTTGACTTTATCTCACTGTCCAAAAACCCAACCCTACTTTGTAACTAAGCAGCAGACTGTTAGTGAAGGATTTAGATAGAAAAGGGGTGTTTATAATCACTTGAGATCTTTATTTGGGGGTCTGGGCTTTTATCAGTTCATTCAGTAGAAGTGGAGAGGGAGCAATGATAAGCTCTTGATGGTACCCAATATTCTGATTGTTGGTTGTTTTTTTCAGGAGCCGGTATTAGCATTTCGTTGTTCTTCAGAAAGTTCCTTTTGTTCTGAATACTCTGTCTGATTGGTAGAATGATGAGCAACAACTGAGGGTGTGTGTGTGTATGCCCCTTTGATTTGTTTGAGAAATCGAAAGAACAACCAGAACCTGTAAGATCGGGATAAAAGGTAGTCACTTCTTTCCATAGAAAGTGTTCATCTGTATGACATTAAAACTTTCACCAGAGGCTAGTAAGAGTGTTTTCCTTGGTATATGATTAATCGGTGACAATTTATTTTGATGATCCTATACATGTAACTTGTATCCTATAGAGGAGCTTTGGTGCTTGGAGTTTTATGGAAACAAAAAGAAATAATATTCATCCCTCCTTTCTTGCTCATGCAATTTAAAGCATGAGTCAGAAGTATATTTCTTAATAAAACTCAATCCTGTTTCTAATTCTCCCCTGGACTTTTAAATATTACTACTGTGAATGTAGCAGCCCATTTCCTCCTCAGTGATTTTTCTTCTGTAGACTGCACGCTCTTTGGGGAAGACAATTTGCCTTGTCTATGCGTCCGATCTTGCATTCCCTGAGCATCCCAAACTCCCAGTAATTTGGAAAGGACATGATGGATCTGATTCTTGGCTGTGTTAGATCTGCTTGTGCTCCAGAGATACACAGCCAGTCTCTGGAAGATCCCTCAGCATAGAGGAGATGGAAGGTGAGACTTCCACAAAAGGTAGACTATATAAGAAAAAATGTGCTTTGATAGTTTGATGCTGAGATGTAGCTTGATTTGTATGTGTGTTGTGATGCAGTAAAGTGAAATCTTTATGATATTTGTCTGGGCACTAGACTGCGGACATGTCAGTACTCAGACAAGAACAAAAAACAGTTCTTAATTGTGTTTTAGGATGTGTACTGACCTTGTGGAGTAGAGGCACTCTCATTCCGAGGAGATGGGTGTCATATAGCAACCTAGATCACTAAATGTCAGGTATAAATAATGAGTGAAATGCAAAATCTCTGTCTACCCAGAATAGAAGGTTGAACTGAGACCTGGTGTAAAAAGATGCAACTCTGGTAACTATTTATACCAGGCCTGAATCCAGCCTGGAGTGATTAGACAGTAGTTTACAATTCCCTTTTGCTTTATCTGAGTATTATCTGTTTATTTAAATTTGACGTGCTCTTTTTCCTTATAATAAGAAACTGTAACAGTAAAACTTTTCTGTGTGCTTAATCCACAGGAGTGGTTTGGAAAGTATCTTGGGTCTATACAGTTCAGAAGAGCCACTACACATAATGAAGTGCTGGTTGCAGGCACCTGTGTTCTGTAATAATCCCTCAACCAACAATATGGGTTTAGGCCTAAACAACCAGTGTGGAGACTCTGAGTTTATCAACTTCTGCTTTATTCAGGCTTTTCATCAGCATGGGGTTTATATCAGCAACAGTGTCCAACCTCTATGTAGCCCCTTATTTTTAAAACTATTATACAGAATTGTACAATAAAGGTGTCGAACTCTACAATTTACAATAGTGTCACTGCACTGTTGTAAACATTACTCTGGGATACTGTAATTTTGTGTGTATTGTTGGCAGATAACATTAGGGGATGGAATTTGTTTACATTTAGGATGGGCAAATTCATTTTGCTGTTGCTTGAACATTGTTGGTTTGCATTCTCCTTAGGAGAGACTGTGAAAGTGGGCAGTAGGGAGAAAAGAGAAAAAAAATAATGAAAAAGGGTGGAAAATGGAGCCAAGAAAGTGCAGAGTGGAAAATAAATCCAGTGAAGTCTGTATAAAGGAGAAAAGAGGGAGAATGAGAAACTCTAATGCAAAAAAATACATGCACCAGCCTAGATTTTAGCAGGTGGTCTGTGCCCTTAATTGACAGCACAGTTAATAGAAAAAATCCATGTATTAAAAAAATGGAATCACTTTTTAAAAGAAATATGGATTTAAATTATGGAATAGCCAGATTCTGAATCTTCACTATTTTTATGAACTCCGAATATAGTTTAGACTTTTGCAAAACCTTGACATATAATTTTAACAGTTTTGTATATCTTTGTTTCTATTGCAGTTATAACAACAGCTACTGAAACACCTCGAAATCCCATAACCCTCAACCAAAGAATGCAATTTAATGGATAAAGCCATCTGCCTTAGGATTAGAATGCTGGTAGATTTATGTTTTTATTCCCATGTCTCTGCGTGCCTTTTTATTCCCATGTGATTTGGATGACTAAATTTTTATCATTTAATCTGTCTCAAGTAATATGATGACCTCTTTTGACTTTCAAGAAAGCAGAACTGTAGCTTTAGCCTACTCAAATATGATGCATCTGACTAAAGCATTTCAACATCTTCATTTCCAATGTTGTGCTTTTAAAAAAGGAAATATGTTCTTTTATGACATTTTGGACACAAACAGGGGCTTGCATGAGCAAGTAAATGTGTTTTGTTTGATCTCTGTAGCTGTTACATGACACAGCTAATTAGAGCAACACTGTGACTGGCAAATGTGATGCTGCTATGTAATAATATAAGAATACTGCTATAATAATTATATTAATACTGCATGTGACCTAGTCAGTGAGATTGTTACTGTTTAACTATATGGGTTTATTAGACATTCTTATATGAACATATTGATTTAGTGCAGTGGTTCCCAAACTTGTTCCGCCGCTTGTGCAGGGAAAGCCCCTGGCAGGCCGGGACGGTTTGTTTACCTGCCGCATCTGCAGGTTCGGCCGATCGCGGCTCCCAGTGGCCGCGGTTCGCTGCTCCAGGCCAATGGGAGCTGCTGGAAGCGGCGACCAGTATGTTCCTCAGCCTGCACCACTTCCAGCAGCTCCCATTGACTTGGAGCAGTGAACCGCAGCCACTGGGAGCCGCGATCGGCCGGACCTGCGGACGCGGCAGGTAAACAAACCAGCCTGGTCTGCCAGGGGCTTTTCCTGCACAAGCGGCAGAACAAGTTTGGGAACCACTGATTTAATGTAACAGTGGACCGTTGGAAAAACAAATAGGAAAGCAACACAGTGGCTCTAAATAAGTAACCTTGGAACAAACACTTGGAGGCAATTACAAGACAATGGCCCATAAACTCCAGCCTGAAGTTGCACAACTGTTGTGTGAGCTAGCAGATCAAAGGACTATCAGCAGTCAAAAAGTGACAGTTTCTGGGAAAAGGGATGTGATGAAAAAGACATAGTGGCCTATTTTGGAATATGCAGACAATCTTGCAGTTTTTAAAGGAGACTTTTCCTCAAGCAGAGAGAGAACTGGTTTGTGAAACAATGAGGGTTAACTAGAAATTGAAGTGTGTTTCATAGAAATTACTCTAAAAACCTTTGCAATGTAATGCAAGGTATCCTTTCTGTAGTCTCTTCTAAACCTTTCTATAGAAAGGGTATAATTTTCATTGTTTACTTAATTCTTCAGGGTGGTTCAAAAAAGCAAGAGAATATAATCGCCTAATAAATTCTCTCAGACTTTTCCATAGGAGTTCAATGTCACTTCTGGGCCATTATTAACAAAGCACTTGCTTCCATTACCACTACCCATGCCTCTCTGTTCTTTGTTCCTATCAGCACTCCCCATGTATATCATGTTTTTGCCCAAATTAGTGCATACATGGGTACATTTTCTGTAGCTCTTTCAAAATTTGGTCCCTGGTTGTGCAATATTCATATTTCTCCAGTTGTCAAAACAGAGGATCATGATAAAATATTCACTTTACTCCAACACTTGCCAAAGATGCCAAGCTATAATAATTTTTGCTTTGTTATGATACATTCCATCAGAAGATCTTAACATGCTTTACAAACACTAATGATTTAGCCATCATAATACTCCTGTGAGCTGGTTAAGTATTATTATCCCCACTTTACAGATGAAAAATGGAGGTACCAAGAGATTAAAACCCACGTCTTCAAAAATGGACATTAATTAACAAAGTTAGAGACCACTTTTTTTAAAGTTTGGGTGCAACTGACTTTGCCATTGTCACACAGGAAGTCCAGCAAAGTTGGCAAGTCAAGATAGAGATGTTACTTACAGAAAGCTCCTTCGTGTGATGATGTTGCCAGTACATACCTTTTCACTCTTATTTATAATACAGTGTATTCGAGTGACATCTAAGAAAAGTATAGAAAGTACCTACCTTTAAAATTTCAACAATAACAAGCTGGGTGTGGCCACTCTAAAACTGTAGCTTGTCAGATGCTTATGAGAAGGGAAGGGTGGGAAGGCTTTCTGCTTACCAGTTTCACGGTCTAGTTAATAAAAAAACATCTGACACCAGTGTGGCCTGAAAGACACTGAGAATGGGTGGGGCTAGAGCGATTACAATGAATAAACTGTGTTAGTAGGATTTGGAATATAGTCCTTGAACAAAACATTTTTTTTTACTCGCATAATTTACTTAATGTTTGAGTAATTGTGAATGACAACTTTAGAATTGTTGCCTGCATTTAAAAAAAGTTAACTATCTTTAAACTCTTCTCCCCCTCCCTCGCCCCTCAGGAGCCTTTGAGGCTGTTCCCTTAAAGCTGATCCTGAAAGCTGCTGCTTCATACTTAATTTGCTGCGCTTCAATTGGACATTGTGACAGTTTCAGTGTTTATGAACAAGACTGCTATTTACAGAAACTGCTGCCTCCCATTTGACAGCAGTTAGATACTGAGAGAAACTCACTGACAAGTGGGTAATTCAGAGACAGAAAGAGCAGATTTTGCACATGGAAAACTCCCTGGAAAAGAGTTTACAAAATGGTAATGATCTGAAATTTCTTTGAAGAGGGATTTTAAGGATCTAAACCATATGGCTTGACCTGAAATCAACTTTGTGGAAGTGAGAGACATCCTAATGCTGGAAAAATATAAAAAACATCTCACATATAGATCCACCCACTCTTCCAGTAACCCACAAACCCAGAACTGTCTCTCCAACTTATGAAGTCACCTGGAACTGGCACTTAGTTTGTTGAATTCTCCTTTTATTTGGGTTTGTTCATTTAGTTCTGATTCAAGATGAATTAAAGCATAAGGAAAACATAAAATGATGGCCAATGTTCTTTACTGTTCTAGAAGGTTCTGTTTAAAAGACTTCTACTTCAATCTTATCTAGATTAGGAATTTGATTCTGAGAAAAGGGAATATTTTCTAGGTTGTGTGGGGTGTCTGTAGACTCACCATTTAAAATATACATTGCTTTACACAAACTTTGAAGGTAGGAATTTCTTTTAGTTAACCTGCTATGGAACAGAATAGTCACTCCTCAAAAACCCTACAAGCTGGTTGCAGCAAGCCCAACACCTAAGTGGGTTTTGTCTGAGGACGTTCAGCACATCTCATTTGTTCAAAAGCTGACTCCATAAACTTATTGTTTCATTTTATTTTTCCTAACACGGTGTGGGGTGTGTGTGTGTGTGATATCCTATCTCAGTGTAATCTCAAATCTTCACCCTGTTGCCAGTTGGGCATTTAGGGGGTCTGAGCCAAAGCTCTTTGAAGCCTACTGAAAAATTCCCATTGGCTTCAGTGGGCTTTGGAACAGTTTTGAACAGAGCTCAGCTGGTGCTTCAGATATAAGGAAAAGATAAGGTTATAAAAGAGAGAGTTAATAACCAAAGAGGTGACTATGATTCTCACTTTGCAATAGTGAGTACATCTAGAATAGAAGGCATTGTTAATACAAGGCTGCTACTGCTGCTGTTACTTGTGTATCTGGATTGGTACTACCAAGTAAATACCCTACTACAAATAATATAGTCCGTGCTGGTTGTCAGCCTGAGAAAATTAGGAATATTGCTGAATGGTACAAGTAGCTCCACTCCCCCATCCATCTTCTCCGTTAATCAAACCAGGAAGAGATCACGCCCTTTCGCAGAGAGAACTAGAACTAATCACTTACAGAGAAATTAAACCCTGCAACCCTTTGTTCCTGTAGCTCCTGATCGAGAGAAAAAATATCCTCGGCCTGCTGTGGAGAAATGTAGCGAGTCTGAAGGTTGGTAGGAGACTGAGAGAGTTGGTCATATCTGAGTGACTTCTTCATTAGGATGCAAATGCGGCAGGGTTCTATGATTGGGTAATAAGTGTTTGGTTATTCAACCTAAAGAAGATACCGTCAGTAGCTTTCAGAACAAAACAGATACACACTGTCAAGAGGAGAGCTGATGTGGAATGTAATGGTGAGTCTAGAGCAGGCAACACTGTAGAAGACCTAGAAAATAAGCTACATTTCAAAGTCATCCAAAAAGGTGCAGAAAGTTTGACTCATCATTATTTTTAGGCTATGTCATTCTTTTCTTAACCCATCACTGGTGTCACAGCAGTCTGGCAGGGTGGTTTTGTTACACTGATCCAGATGCTTATCTGTTTGCTCAAACTGCTAGGCAAGCAGACATCTCAGAACAATGATGTGCATCTAAGCAATGGAAAACCACTTTGGAGGGGGGGAACAAAATGGTAATAAAGACTCTGGGAGGCAAGGAGAAGAAACATGCACAAGAGGCGGCAATGCCAATCTCTGACTTAGGGATCAACTGAACTCCGTCCACATTTGTCCCCCTTGCTTGGTTATGCTTCTGAAAGTGAGAAAAAGTTATCCAGACAGTTGAACAAATAAGTTGCAACTAATAATTTACTAGACCAGTGGTTCCCAAACTGGGTTTCATGAACCCCTGAAGGTTCGCGAAATGATACAGGGGGTTCTCGGGGAAAAAATT